AATTCCCCGTTACGTCGGGCGTACCTCAAGGAAGTCACTTAGGTCCCATTTTATTTAGTTTATACATTAACGATCTCCCATCGGTGGTTAATTCCAGCCAGATCTTAATGTATGCTGATGATGTGAAACTGTTTTCTTCCTTCTCTGTTAAATTGCAATCACATCACATTCAAGGTGATTTGGATAATTTTGTTGCATGGTGCTCTTTGAATCTGCTGAAGCTAAATCTGAGTAAATGTAAGAAGCTTTCATTCTCAAGAAGAAAGTCATTCATTACTCAGTATTTCATAAATTCGCATAAGTTGGAGGATGTCGATTCGATCACAGATTTAGGCGTTCTATTTGACCATAGGTTACGTTTTAACTTGAATATTGAGCTCTCGATTAGCAAAGCTGGGTCCGCGCTTGGTTTTATAAAAAGGTGGTCCAAAGAGCTTGATGATCCCTACATTACGAAAAGGCTGTAAATGTGTTTGGTTAGACCCATACTCGAGTATACCTCAGTTGTGTGGTCTTCTTCATATAGGTGCTACGTATATTCAATCAAATCTGTTCAAAAGCAATTCTTGCTGTTTGCCCTTAGAAATTTGGGTTGGGATCCGGTTGCCTCTCTTCCTCCATATGAAAATAGGTTGCTTCTGCTGTCCCTACCGTCTCTTGAGAAACGTAGATTTGTTCTTGGCGTTTCCTTTCTATTTAAGGTAATAAATGGTGCCATTGACTCGCCTTCATTACTTGGTGAAATAAGCTTTAATTTCCCTAACCGCTTCTCCAGGCACTTTATCTTGGTTAAGCTTAGTCAGTGTAAGTTTAATTATGAGCTGTTCAATCCGCTCAGAGTCGTTTGCAAGAACCTAAATGACGTCTACCACTTATTCTCGTTATCGGACTCTTTAAAGTCCATTAAAGCAACATTGCTTAATAGGTGCGATTTACCTATGTCGTATTTAAATTAGCTTTTATCCTAAAAATTGTTACGTTTCGAAAATGAATTTTTGACAATTTATTATCGGTTGCCAGGCTTATGCATGTTTGCGATGGTTTAGGGGTTCATTTGCAATTTGGTCTTGTACCGGTTGTAAGTGTGTCCCTATGCTGATAGTGTACATGCTTTTTTTTTTCTTTTTTCTTCTTATTTGTTTTATTATACTTATACTAAATTTTATTATTAATTAATATAAGTTTTGCATTAAGAGCCAATTGAACTCGACTGTTATTTGTTTAGTTGAGTTTCTAGTATAAGTAGAATAAATAAATAAATAAATTCCGTTTTTTGTTGTACAACAACAATAGGTGTAGTGTACTGAATTTGGCCCACATTTTCTTGAATACCCTCTTCTTCTGGATTGCTTAGTTAAATGTAGCCTTACTTAATAACCTTCAGTTTTTCCTGGTCTTCATTGTTTATTTCAGCTCACTTTTCAGCAATTCAAGCCAATTTAGATCTATTTCTCACGTTCATTCTCTTCCTAGAAAGCGACATTTATTGCGTCAATTAGTGTTTAATGAACTGCTTCGAATTGCCTAGTTTCTCAAGCCAAACACCTACTGGTGTCGGAGTGCTGTATCTAAATGATCTCCAAAGTTACATCCGACAACTAATTGACACAATGGCGCCAAATACTCGCACCATGTACGATAACTTTCAAAAATTTCATTACCTCTTGGGTGAAAATAATTCTCTAAAATTTGTACGATTTCATCATACCACATGTTTGTAGGCGTTTTCGGTGTCACAAAGGGTATCACATCTTGTCGCTCCTATATAAAGAATGAAACTTGTCGTTTATTTTTCAAAACTAAAACTTGGTATCCCATTTACGCTATTCTGTGTACTATTTTACACATTTTCGTTATGAGTAGCCGCTTTATATATGCAATCTTATTCTCGTCACCAGAAAATTAGGTGTCTTCTGTATTTGTCTTACTACACGTTCTATAGTACATTGATTTTAATAATTCGCATATTCATATTCTTCTTACATTATATGCTTTGCGTCTTTAAGTCACTAACATTTCGTTGAAACATGTTCCATTACAAGCTGTTAAAACCTAGTGAAAGGGTTAATACCAATCGCTACCAACAACAATTACCAAATTGGGGCTATTCGCTGTTCAAAAGGCAATAAGCGTATTAGAGAAAGGCACGCAAGTATTATGAGATGCAAAAGTCATTCGCGGTGCTTTGGGATCACTTATCCAGTCCAGTGGCTAGATAAGCCCAGCACCTCTACCGGATATGTTCCATACTGTTATTGTCGATGCATGTTCCGGTATCTTAAAGTAGCGTATGGAAAAATGCTAAGCGATTTTATAATTTTGCCACTAGTAAAGGACCAACTAATGACTTTTCAAAGCCCGTTTGAAAATGTCAGCTATCTCTAATATGTGTGAGCATTTCTTCCAACAGTATAATTCATACCTTACAACTGCATATTTAAATTATCGGAAAATTGCAATTTATTCCAACATATTAGCCAAAAGCGCTATATGCTTAAATTGTATCTTTCTTCGGAAATTCCTGCTTTGCTCCATCGTTAGATGGAGCGGATGTTAGAACATTCCCCATTTCAAGGAAATCAAAATATAGTTTCACTCGATATCAATCATTACTCTCCGAACAATTGAAAGGCATAATACGCGTACTTTTTTTATAACCCGTAATCACTTCTAATTAAATAACAATGATTTTTTTATTAACAAAATTTTATTTAGTTAAAACACGTTGATTGTCCCGGTTGGATATGTTGGGAAAAGAAAAAAAATTTAGCATACAGAACACCCAATAGACAAACGTATACTCATTCCAACATAACATTTGACGCACACATCATTCATATCACTCATTTTGTAGCATATTATATTAGTTTGGGGAAAAAGAAATCCATTTTTTTTTCGGTAGATGGCTGCACTGATAGATTTCTCGTAAAGTATCAATCAAACAATTTCCGATACTATACATTTACATACTGTACATTTCGCAGTAAAAAAAATTCTTTTGCTGTTTTTTGTTTGGTGCATTCAGTTGTGAGTTACAGCGTGTTAAAAATGGAAGTGAACAAAGAGAAAATTCGGTACATTTTACAGTTTTTCTTTGACAAAGGCGAAAATGCAAGCCAGGCGGCTAAAATTGTGAATGGTGTTTATGGTTCCGATACTGTAACAGCCAATTATGTGCAATTTTGGTTTCGTAGATTCCGTTCAGGAATTTTTGATGTTAAAGATGCACCTCGCACAGGTAGGCCGGTCGTCGAAAATGTCGATAAAATCGGAGAAATGATCGAAGTTGACCGGCATGTTAGCAGTCGTAACATCGCCCAGGAGCTAAAAATCGACCATAAAACAGTTTTAAAACATTTACACAAAGCTGGATTCAAAAAGAAGCTCGATGTTTGGGTGCCACACCAATTAACAGAAAAAAACATGATGGATCGAATTTCCATCTGCGAAGCCTTGGCCAAACGGAATGAGATAGACCCATTTCTTAAACGGATGGTGACTGGAGATGAGAAATGGATCACATACAATAACCCGATCGTGGTCAAAGAGCGGTGAAGCATCTCAAACGGCCAGGAAGGTTTTGCTATGCATTTGGTGGGACTGGAAAGGGAGTATTTATTATGAGTTGCTTCCATATGGCCAAACGCCAAATTCTGATCTCTACTGTCAACAACTGGACCGTTTGAAGATAGCGATTGACCAGAAACGGCCAGAATTGGCCAACAGGAGAGGTGTCGTGTTCCACCAGGACAACGCTAGGCCACACACATCTACAGTGACTCGCCAGAAACTTCGGGAGCTTCGCCATACAGTCCGGACTTGGCACCAAGCGATTATCATCTTTTTCTTGCATTGCAAAATTTCTTTAATGATAAAAAATTGGAATCTAGGGAGGATTGTGAAAATCGACTACTAGAGTTTTTTTGCAAATAGAGACCAGGACTTCTATGAGAGAGGCATTTTGAAGTTACCTTTAAAATGGCAACAAATCATACAACAAAACGGTGCATATTTGACCCAAATCGGACAATCCGAAGCATGTTAAATAAAGTCCTGAAGTTCATATAAAAATAATGGATTTCTTTTTCCACAAACTAATACATAATTAAAATTAAAGTGTATTGTACCATAAAAAATTAGACACAATTTTGTAGCAGAAAATATATAAAATAAAAATATATACTTTTGGCTAACTTTGGCTTTGGCTAAAGGAATTATTAAATGATGTATAATTCAGGGTTTTCATCCGAAAATAACATGAATTGCCAAGACTATGTTACATTAAACTAGAAAACTTATTCAAATGACATATCGTTTCTCTTTGTAAAATGAATTGTGTGGTTCCGCAAAGCATTTGCGGTGATGTGCAGGTCACTATACTATTTATAGAGCAATGCTGTCGCCCAGGTTACTCAAAATGAGAAGACAGAGAGAAAACTTACTGCGCCCATTCCAAAGAATCCACTTGTTATTATTTTAAAAACGAGAGAAGGTCTACGCTATCCCATGTGACAATAACTTAAGTTTTAGATTTAGTCGGTCTTAACGTATTACTATTTCTGACGCATGTCGCATAAAATGTATTTTCCTGAATCATTCGTGTAGCTGCCAGTATCACTTCAAAATACGTTATCTGTTATATGTGACCATATGTGCTGGTAGCACTAGATGCAGAACGATAGTGCAGAGATTATAAAACCAATCTAGTGAATTACAAAATTCTGGAAATACAATTTTTTTGTTGCTTTGTTTCTCATCAAAATAAACTATTTCGATATATTTCCTATATTCAAACGGCGAATATTCGTAAACAGAACCAGCTATTTAGAGAGAGAGAAAAAAACCGGAAAGATTCCGCAACACTGTACGACCCTTGGACGCATTTTAGACAACATGACATTGCCTTGTTTGCCGCAGATCGGTTTCAGCATTTGCGCTTTAATGATGTTATTTTTTTCTTCGCGCATCATTACCAAGCAATTAATTTTTCATGTTTTCAGACTATCTTTTGGTACTCTATATCCGGCTTACGCTTCTTACAAGGCTGTGCGCACCAAAAATGTGAAGGAATATGTAAAAACATGAAATAAAGCCGCATGTATAGGCTTATATAAATTTAAGTTATATCTAAAAATATTTTCTTTTTTAGGTCAAATGGATGATGTACTGGATTGTATATGCGTTCTTCACATGTTGTGAGACATTTACAGACATATTTCTATCATGGTTTCCATTTTATTATGAAGTTAAGGTTGTCATTGTGCTCTGGCTGTTGTCTCCTGCCACCAAAGGAAGTTCAACATTGTATAGAAAATTTGTACATCCTATGTTAACACGGCGTGAGCAGGTAAGCACATTTACGAAGTAGATGTGCATAGTTTTCCATTTAAAATGCTCTCGTTATTACATTTTCCATACTAGGAAATTGATGAATATATCAGTCAGGCGAAAGAACGCGGTTATTCTGCTGTGCTACAATTAGGTTCTAAAGGTGTGAATTATGCAACGAATGTTATCATGCAGACGGCAATCAAGGTAATATTTATAAAAAAATATATAACTATTTGTGTTCATACAATTGACTAACAAACGTACATTTGTCTTAAATGTGATAGATTGACATGGTCCTAGAGACCCAATTCTTTATAATAAAATATCTATATATATGCCTACCTACGTATGCTTGTGTGTTAGCGTACAACACATATGGCTTGAGTTCCTAAGCACAAGATTTCGATAATTGATTTGAAATTCTTAAAAGCCATTTTGCTCTTTAAACGAATGCACAATCATTAGGTCGTCATATCCCTTTGTGCTCATATGTTGACTCTTTTACTTCAATAAAGTACGAACATTTTAAGAAAATGAGTTAAGAATTAAACTGAAAATAATGTGCTCGCAAAAATTTCCATTCCTTACTTTCTAAAGTGCTTACGTTCAATCGGACAATCAATCTGCTTCAAAGCTTTTCAATGTATTTTTCATTTTATCTGTAAAAAAAAACCTTTAGTCGCATATACTAAGTAAAAAAAATTTACTTTTCAATCTAGAAATGATTCCATTATTTTAGGTACTTTTCATTAAGTTCATCAACATTTTAGTCAAAAAGCAATACATATGGGATTTTTGGGAGATAAATTTGTTTCTGTAACGAAACTTATAGTGTTTTTTACCCCCATATATACTCTTTTATTTCTGAAAAATTAGTAATAAAGGACCGCGAATTTAAAAACATCTATTTCTAGAGTAAATAACAATAAGTAGTAACTTTATTAAGTAAATTATACGCGGCAGAATATTACAAAAATAAATATAAATTAGGTTTTAGGAAACTAATTTTTGATAAAAATATGGAGAAGACAAAAGATTGGTTTACCAGGATCGATGTCTGCAGCGAACATAGACGCCACTTATTGAATTTTATCTTAACTTATGTACAAAAAAAAGTACAAAAATTCGAAATTTTTATCCCGACACCAAGCCGATTGTAGTGTGTACCAATCGGAAAAATAAAAAAAAATTCAAATTGCGTAATCTAGGATGAAGAACGAATTTTTAATATTTTATGCATTTATTTAATTTTAATATAATATAACAACTATATAATATAAATGGGTGCCGTGAATAATAATTCATGTGTGGTTGAGTGAAATATATCAAATATACATGCATAACCAAATAAGATTAATATAACTAAAATTATATAAATAAATAAAATAAGTAAATTAGCTAAAGATAAATATAGTAAGCTACGACATAATTTTTTTTAATAACAAAAATTTCTTCATATATCTTGATATGAAAGTTTCCATTGAAATTTTCACATAAAATTAAGTTCTAAGACTGCATAAGTTCTAGCATTAAGTTCTAAGCATCATCTACGTCGTCTAAATAAGTGAACGCTAAGAAATGTCGAGCAACATACAAATATCAAATCGAAAACCAAGTATTGTGCAAGGCGAATGGGGAAGGAAAATTTAAAATACGTCTTTTTTTGTACGAGACAATTCTTCAAACGATAAATTTTCCACAGATACAGAAGCTGACGTGCCAGCAAAACATTCTAAATCAAACAAATTGGAACTGTAACCCCAAGTAACCCAATTACTAACACTTATAGAGAAAAACTTTTGCTTTTAATAAACCTTAATTTAAAACGACAATTTCTATGGAAATTTATAGTTGCAGATACTGTATAACCAATTATTGAATCTGACTTTCTGCAACATTTTGGGCTGCTTGTCGAGGTCGAAAGAAAACTCCTTATCGACGGCATAGCAAAGTTAAGCACACCTTTTTTCATATTAATCGAGAACAATGTTTCTTCTGTTTAAAGTTGTTCAGTTTCTAAAAATTCACCATATCACCATGTCTTATCGGAATTAAAAAATATTACGCAACTATCAAGCATTTTGCTTAGGTTAAACTTTCAGAGCTTGATCATATCATAACAGAGAGATCTCCCGTTCATTGCAAACCGTACAGCTTACTTCCTAAAAACCGTAAAACCATATAAAGAGAATTTAATTGCATGATGTAATTAAGTATACATCATCAGTCGAAGAACATTTGGACAAATCCTTTAAACCTTGTTCCAAGATCTAACAACGAATTTCGTTCATGAAGCAAGCTCTTAACAACGGTCCCGGATATATACCCTATATCACTTTTGCACGATTTTACAGCTAGTTTACATGGCAAGAAAATGTTTTCTAAAATAAAATTGGGAAAAGCTTATTTCCGAAACCCTGTTAAAGAAGCAGAGGAAACAGCCATTGTCACGCCAATAGGACTTTTTGAATCAACAAGGTTGGTGTAAAGTCGCACAAACATTTCAACATTTATGTACGATCTCTTAAAAGACGCGTAGTTCATTATGTATAAATTGACGATATTCTTTTCGCCTCTACAAATTTATATATAGAAAGTAAGAACTACCATGGTCGAAAAATGGTCTTAGCCAATTTCTTGGTCTCATTAATTTTTATGATTTAAAAAAATTTAAAAAAAAGAAAAATTTTTTGGACAGATGAAATATGAAACACATTTGATTGTCGCAATAAACCAACTTTCCGATGCTTTAGTTCTAGCCTATCCGATCGAAGGATCTCCTTTATCACTTTGGATTGACGTTTCCTTTTTTGGTAAGGCAGCAGGTTTCCAACAATACGTGAATAATTGTTGGATACCGTTTGGATTTTTCGCAAAAATATTTGCGGAGACCGCCGTTATAGCATAGATGATCGAGAGATACAAGCAACCTTTACCTTTACCATCTTTGAAGAACACAAACCCCTTACGTTTTGGTTTCTGCCAAAAATTGGGCAAAGTTTCGTCAAAGCAACTACGTCAATTAGACTGTATTGCATTAGATAAGTCAAAGGAGAAATAACGTATCAGTTGCTTTCTGTCGCAAATTAAAACTATTTCCATGCAAAACAGTGTTGATTACGACTCATTGGCAAGAGATCAAGAATCTGATGAATAACTAGAAAGTTTACTTCAATTGTCATCATACGCTCTTGTTCGGAAAAAAATTGAATTACCTAATTTAAATTTAGAAATTCTTTGTGGCTGCCTATTATACGGCCATATCAGACAAGAAAATTTCGCAAAGAAATGTTTGATATTATGTATAACTAGTCACAATGGTTCACGTGGCCATGAATATTGATAGATTCACAAGATTCACGGCCATACCTTTGGAATATACTACTGCTAAGTCTGCTGTTAAAAGTTTAAGTTCGTGGCTGAATATCTAGATTTGGTACATCAACTTAAACTACACTCGATCAAGGCAGACATTTTGAATCTGCTCTATTCCGATAATTCGCCAAAATGCTCAGTTCCAAACCACACACCATCATATCATCCCCCAAGTAAGGGCCAAATTAAAATATGGCAACTTTGAAAATCCTATTAAATGTCACACAGATACAAAATGGACAGATGTTTTGCTACTAGTACTTCTTGGACTTCACAGTGCAGTAAACGGTGATACTGGTTATATACTTTCTGAATTAGTCTATGGTACAATTTTACAAGTCTCTGGTCAATTCGTAGCTGAAAAGACTTACTCGCCAAATAATCGCTGCGATAAAAAATTTCGCGAAAATATGACAACCATGCAAAGGAAATCGACACGTAAATACACCTTGGTCAGCTCTTCGACATGTCCCTATGTCTCTTTATTGAAAGATTCCATATTGAAGTTTTACAGCAGCCTTATACTAGACCTTACAAAGATATTAAATAAAATGCTAAAATGTTTGTAATTGAAGTAAATAATGTAGAAAAACCGTTTCCGCTGATAGATTGAAACCAGCAAAAATCATGGAGCAAGTCGATGATTCACTTATGGAACTCCATGGAAAACGCGAAGGAATCCACCTTTGCAATTTCGAAGCTTTGATACGTTGAAACTGAACGGAGATCCTGTAGAAACTACAAGTAGCCGTAGAATTGATGGTAAAATAAATTTTGATTGTACAAAAGCTGGTAGTTTTGCAAAATGTTGGCAAACCTGAAATCAATTTATAAATATGTGCAGTAAGCATTCGAATTTCTTATTAAAAAATGAATAAATTATGTCTTCATTACGTAACATGTTTATTATTGGGAGTTGGTTGTTGCGTCAATATTTTGGCAAACGACGATTTAACGCCACCATACACTAAAATGTTACTACGTCAAACTCGACATCACAAAAAATGAATAAACAAAGTCTGTAAATACCTAACGCTAGTATTAAAATTAATTAATTGCCCTACAGAAAAGTTATGATATTTCACCAGCTTCTGAAGTTCTGCGCTTGCATACACTGCTACGCGAACTTTTAATGGATTGTGGAATACTTAGTCGTCATGTTATAAATGCAAATAATATTTAAGAGAAGTTCGAGTGGATGCGGTTATGAATACGTAACACGGGCTGTAGAATCGTTCAGAGATCAAATTATGGGTGTATTTTTGTCTTTAACCTTATTACAATTTTCTAAGCTAAAAACAAGAAAAGTATAACCGCAATATCAAAATGTGAAAGAATATTTAAATCGATTTCTGTGGGCATGGAAAAGGCGAAATGGAGGACTTCCTTCCATCTGTCGAAAATCTCATTTCTTGTACTAACATTTAAAGCTACCTAAAGATAATCAACGGTGATAAAATGAAACATAATGTACGAAATTTAATATAACGAAGGATTTCGTCAACAAAGATGTTGTTGGGTGCAAACATTGTTCAACAAAGCAATGGTGACCAAACCAATGACGACTTCTATGCACGGATATCTCCAAAAAAAAATGTAAATTATTCTTATCCAGAAGAAAATCCTTTTTATTTTCTATTGTAATAACTAAATAATGGGTGTTATAAAAGCTCTTCCCGGTGTTTTGGTCTACTTTTGAGCTTCTGCTTGTAACTTGCCCTTTTCATATGATTCTAAACTGTCATATGGTTGATGTTTAGAGCCTCCGCTATTTAGTGACTGGCCGACCAGAGCGAGGTGCATCTTTGACATCGAAATTTCGGGAACGAAATCAAACATTTTGGATCCTTCGTTCACTCACAGCATTCTCATCGTACACTTTACAAGTTTTTCGGCATGTGTTTATATATTTTACGTTTTCTATGGTAGAAAAGCATCACATGGCGTATATTTTCAGATATTTAAAAATCAATTTCAAACCAATATACCTTTTTATCTAAGCATAGAGCCGATAGCCGATAGCTCAATGTTTTTTTTTTAGTCTAAGAATTCAATTCATTAGTCTAAAATTAAAATAATAATAATAATAATAATATATAAGCACAGAATTGGGAAACGATCTTGGCAAAAGTATCAGCTGAAATGTCACCTTTTAAGCAAAAGCTCGTTCGAGACAATCACTTGAGTCTTGCCCGATATATATGAGAATCAACTCCATCTAATGGCAAACAACCGCGGAGACCTTTTATATCACCCATTATTCTTGCTTCTTTGTTCTCTGCTATTTGGAAATAAACCTAATAAAATAATGCCAAACGGAAGAAAGATAATTTTGAGAAATGGAAAAGAAGAAAATATTTTTCTTATTCGCATTAAGATCTGTCATAAGAATTTTTTGAAAAAGATGGGTAATTTTAGGAGAAAACATAATTTCTTCCTCAAATAATTCGAATGAAGAATAACTCAAGATAAAATTTTTGATGTTAGTTTGTTAAACATGTGTGAAAACTTTATCTTGGAGTTCTAGTAGCGAATGTAGCGAGTAGCTAGTAAGCGGCGATGCCGTTTAACAAGATTTGCAACTGTATTTAATCTGCGTTAGAGTCATGCTACGGTGTGTTTTCGGAAAAGAATGTTCCGAGTAAACTGTATCCACAGAGTGTTTGAACGAATTTTTAAATGAGTCAAGAAGTTGTAAAGGAGGCGTTAGTGTACATTACCTAAATCAAATGTGACATTCTTTTTATTGTCGTTTTTATTTACCTCATATGTTAATTTTTTGTTTTCTTTGTTTTGTTTATTTATAAATTCAGTTAACAATTATCATTATTGCTTTCTCTTTTTTTATTTTTCATTGAAATTAACTGAACGTTCATTGTGCATCGCTAATTAACTTTAATCGAAATCAATGACTGAACGCATATTTTCATACTAGACCTTTGAATATGGTTTAAGGGCTGGCAATCACCAGCATCAAACACGTATGGTGACTTTGTCTCGACCAGATGATGCTATTTATTCGAATCATGAGAATGTACGGTGTAATGAAATTGATGCAATAGGCCAACAATCTTATAGTGTGACAAGATTGAGTCTTATGGAATCGATACAAAAGGATTTTTCCGAAGACGATGATTTCCAATTTAATGGCGAACTATTTGAGTGTAAACCTGCTGCTGATGAAGAAATTAGTGGTGCTGCGCGCATACGTGAACTGCCTTTCAGAAAGACTAAATTCAGAAACGCCCAAAGCAAAGTGAAGTATACTGGTACAAAAAAAACGGAAACTGGCGATAAGCGAAGGCGCAGAAAATTGCTTAAACAACCTTTGGATGAGGATGTGGATGTTGAATAATACATAAAACCTTAACTTAAATGAATAAAAACAAAAACATTGCCGTTAATATTTTCCTAATTTAAATTTTCTTCTCTGTGTAATACGACAATATCTTGCAACCTCTTTGCCCTAGTTACTAAGTGAAAGGGATTTCTCTTTTCCAATATTTTCCCTCTTGTAACTGCTTTAACGTTTTAAAAATTTTTAACGACAAGATGTGTATGTACACAATTATGCCAAACTTAAATTAAATTAAGTTCATAAATTTAATGAGAAGCTGTTAATTACTGATTAGAGTTTATCATCAAAGCTTTATGATATTTATTACTAGGGCGGTGGAAATTTGGTTCAAACAATACGTCGTAGTTATAGTTTGAGTGACTTGTCAGAGCCAGACCTGCACCGAAAGCAAGAAGAGGTAATTTAACACAACATAGACTCCTCTGCGCTACAATGAGTTTATTCTCGATTCTTCTAGGTTGATGAAGTGGTTAGCTTACCATCTCAGCAGAGAACACTACGTTCCCGGTTTGTTGCACCTGCTAATCGCCACTCGACTGGGATGTACTTTACAGAAGTAGATGTAACTTCGAGGGCTCCTGCAGACTTTAAGTAATGATTGTAGTTCCATAAATACTTTTATTGGCATTTCTTGTTATGGTTTCATTTATTAATTTTTCAGCTACAATATTCGTTCTTCAGATGATATAAGTTCTGGTTATTCAAGTACGGAACCGGTTTCTGCAAACTTGAGTCGCACCTCTTCAATGACAAACGCTTCCAGACCACGACCTAGAACCAATAAACGTTCCGAGGTAAATTTGTAAGCTATAATAATTTTCCATAAATTTTCTTATGCACTATTTATTATTTAACATGCATTTTAAGGGCATTGTTGTCTATAAATTTCAGCAGTTTGTTCGTCCTTTACAGATCTATTCTTATTTTCAAGATATTCCCATAAATCAATCGCCGTTAACTTTAAACAAACAAGCAGTTAATAATTTTGATTATACCCCCAGAAAACAAAACTTTGAAGTTCATCCAAATCCACTATCGTATACGTCAAGTTTCCCAGGAGAGATGATTTATTTTCTAAATGCGGACGTTAGTTCATCTGATGAATCTTACGAAAGTGCATCAGATAAGGAGTTTGGAGATGATCAACAAAACGATAAGAATTTCTTTAATTGGAATATAAAAGCAATGAATTCTATTATAATAGGAAATTCAAAACAAATTTTATCAGCCGAACAAGTGAAGAGAACTGCCGAAAAGAGAACTGCTCGGCCTTACTTGCATAACAAAGGCAAAGCACCAGAACCATTAATTTTAACTTCTGGTGGAAACAAAATTAAATCGTCTCTTAATGATATGTGGGCCATTAGTTCAAAGTCAAAAGAAACACAAATTTAATATTAAATATTCGGTAAATAGTTGAGTTCAGCGCATGTTTTCTTGCTATTGTCTTCTAGTATCTTACTAACATTATTATAATAACTGAGAATTTAACCTCTACCTAAAAAATATATTGCCACTAATTTTTTATATGCATTTTCATAAAGATGTGCTTCTTTCAATAGGGTTATTTCGGAAAAAGGGACTTTCGAGTATTAAACTGGAACCAAATACAGGCATTTGATTTCTGTTTTCTATATAACTGAATTATATACAAACGCTTGCAGAACTTTTTAAACACTTTCTTATTCATCGAAATGCTCGTAGTTGATTGAATTAGGTATATATCTAAGCAAAAAGGAACATTGCGCATAGTTTACGTCGATCGAAGTAATTTGGAAACGAATTCCTTTACAATAGCTGGAAATAATCTACAAAACACGACAAATATCACATTCAAATTTGGATTAAAATATGGCTTCCTTATTTGCTTAAGTTTTATGACTCACATACATTCGCACCAAGAGACTTAACGTTTAAATTGTAGCCATAAATTCAGCAGAAGTTTTTTCTTTTTATAATGTGCAAAAATGGTGTCAATTTTAAATCGTTCTAAAAAATAAATGCAAATTTGTTGTTGTACGTGACGGTTCAATTTCACAGGCAGACTCCTAGCTTTAATTCTTAAACTTATTCATAAACAAATTATTGTTCGTAGATGTACTATTAAATGCAAGCAATGTAAAATCTTTAATTTATTTAAATCGATCACTTTTTTCTCTTCTGCAGGATAAAATAATATCTGCAAGTTATACTACATTGCCTCGCAGCAAAAAGGCCGAAAAAGTTATTGGCGCTGGATCAGCTAAATATCGTATTAGACATGAGAAATAGCTAATTACAAGAATCATATATTGAAGATCTCGTAAACTAAATATATTGTGGATTTATATAAATGTCTAATGAGGATAAGAAGAGAAGTATGTTTTAGGAAAGGGTAAAAAAACAAATTAACAAAATTTGAAATGTACTGCGTTCATTCACTTTACTTAATAATTTAATGCAAACATTTGTGGTTGTCGTCAATTCACTTATCGTCTCCGAAAACCAGACAGAAATAAATTGTTGACAGTTCTACACGTAAGCGAAATCTATTAAATGAAAACCAAACAAGAGGGTTACTTTCGTCTTGGGGCAAAAATTGCACACTTACCATTTAAGTCAAATAACGAAACTTTGCAGTGTTTAACCGTTTTACTTTTGTTTATTATGTAACTAACCATTTTGTTATTAAAGTACCTCAGCTCACTTTAAATAATTAATATATAGAATGGCACTGCAATATATGAATCAGAAAATAAAAATTCGTCTGTACTTTAATTTATTGAAATTTCTTGTTAATTACAAATTGTAAAAACTTTATTTAAAGGTCGACAACGCATTTCATATATTTACATTTTTGTCATTTTAACATCAGTAAATGTATTGCCTAATTCGGCCGATATAGTAAAAAAGAATAACCATGAAAACTAATGCAAATTAAGATAACAATAAACATTTTCTTCTAATTTTAATGAAAAACCTTCATGATTTTTAATTTTTAGGCCATATTGGCAATATGCAGTAAAAATATATAAATTATCCTGGATTTCCTATCTTTGGTCGAATACTTGTGACGTTTTTAAACATATCAAGCGAGAGTAAACGATTGGATCTCTAGAGTATGTGGATCATTCATTTTGAAAACATTTCGTCTTTTATTGTTGCATTCTCTTGTGGTCGCTACTTTTACTTGTGCTCTTGAGATTTGCTTCTCCTACAAATTACTTTATAGAAAACCTATAAAATATAGGAAGTTATAAATTTTTTTGTCTTACCTTACATCAGTCAAATTGATGCAGGTCAAATAAGGCAAGTATCAAGCTTCAGCAAAGTAAATTGATTTTGTACATTGTTCCGAATTTCTTCATCCTTGCAAAATACAAAAATTTTGCTCACTTGACGAGTTAAAACCATAAGAGGACCATGTCACACGTTATTGATAAAATGTTAAAACAAATTTAAATGATCAGGAAAATACAAATCTTATTTAAATATGCGCACATTGGCTTTCATGGAATATATGTGATAGGTATTCGTCGTTCATAATTATTGAACATGTAGAGCGAAATCGTTGGTGGCGTAGGATTTCTATATGGACACATGGTAATCAAAGATAAATGCATATGAGAATTATGCAATTATATCAATGACACCACGTACATAATTTTAACATTCACGTTACTCTGTTATATATCCTTTCCACATAATCATTAAATCCCATTCGTTCCACGTTTACTCTTTATTAATTTACGATTATTGCATTATCATTATTTCTTTAAAATATAAATTTGATACTTTCCCTTGATAAAAGCGTTTTCTAAAAGAATCGTATATCATTAAGAAGTATTGTCAATTGCACCACTTTAATGATACCGAAATCATAAAACGGATGAAAAATCTCTGACAGTGAAAAATGAGTACATATTACAAATGTAATTAACCTAACCGCAAAATCTCCGGTTCGATATGAGTTGCGTTCAGTTAGATACCTGTAGAAAACTACTGGATGACTGTACCTTTATTTACATGTTACAGAGATGTTTATATATGCAAGCAACGTCTACGATCATACCCTGCAACTGTATTATAAAAATGTAAATTTGTGAATAGCAACGGACATAAGTAGTATAAACTCGAATCAGCTGCTTCACCATGTGTTCAGTAAAATAAAATATCAACTTGCAAGAACCCACAGAGCGATGCCCCTGGCCAGCCTTATTGGCATAAAAAAAAAAATAACCTGTATGGAAGATCGGTTTCCTAGAGTTTAGCCCCCCGAAATTGATTAACTACTTTGCGTATAGACAAGTTGCATATAGTTATTGAAAAAATCAACATGCGTTCAACCGAATCTATATGTCGTCAAAAATTTAGGCGCCTGCTACAGCTGAGATTTCTCATGCAAGCATTTATACACTGAAATTAGTCAGACTTTTCTAATAAAATTTCTATAGTAAAATTGCGCAGAAACCTCAACTGCCGCAAGATTAACTAGGTAAGTTATATACTCCCACTATGTATAAAGGCATAAAACAAAGAAAAACAGAAGTATTTGTTCTCAAATCAGCAGCTTCAGTATTTTAATTTACAATAAAAAATCACAGTGATATTTGAAATTTTTTAATCTGAAAGTTAAACAGTGCTTCTGAGTTGGCTTATTCTTGTTGTTTCTACAAAATTTCATTGTATCACATCATTCTATTTATGTATGTAGCAGATTCCATCCAGTCCATTCACATAAGGTTTTGGGTATGTATTACGGAGCAGCGCTCGTGTGATGCACTTAATATTCGACATTTGTTCACAGCGGTTAATTAATAAATTTAAATCATCCTGTTTCTTGTGTTTGCGACACTTTAAGACCAAAGTACCTTCGTCAACGGGCAGTACTCCAGATAAATGTACACATGTACGCATGCTTATGTACTTTTAAAATCTTGTAATTGTATAATTTTGTTGAAAAGTTGTTTTAATATTTCTGTTCTTGCTGAATTATATGCTGGGCAGAAACAATGGGATTTTAATGTGAGGTTGTTTATTTGTTAAATTAGGAGTAAAGAGAAGAGAATATGAGAGCTCCTATGTCTAGTTGCGGCTCCCCTTCTCCTCACACTCACGTCTCAAATGACCGCTTTTACCGCAGCCATAGCATGTTTTAGCCGTGTCTGGGCAATTTTTGGAAATATGTCCAGTGCGGTTGCACTTGTAGCACGAAATGTTACTAGAGCTACGATCATTCGACGCTTCAGGGCAATTACGCGCCCAATGGCCAACTTTGTGGCATTTGTAACATGTTGGATTGTCCGGTTGTGTGCAATCCTTCGAAATATGACCGACGCCATTGCAACGATAGCAACGCTCAGACTCTTCAGGGCAAGCGCGAGCAAAATGACCATACTGGTTGCATTTAAAACATTTCTCTCGATTATTGCCGCGTCGCATATCACGACCACCACCACCACCACCACCGAAGTTACAGTCGCGGGCAAAGTGACCCGTGCGATTACACTTGTAGCACGTGGAAGCCATGGACATTATGAGCAGATCTACAAATATCTTACCAACTAAAAAGTCTTTGCAACAGTCCAAACAGTTTATCAACTAAATGCAAAGATATAGAATTCAGTGAAAACTCTTTTCGCCACTTCACGCACTAAATACAAATCGAAATGGCTGCCGTCCGTTCAACCAACAATGCCTCCGACTTCTCTTCGCAAGAAGAACAATAACCACAAAAAGCTGTAGGCGCTGTACTACAAGGTTGTATTTTTTTCATAAAAATGGTCAATGTTATCAACCGCCTTTCCTACATAGTTGTATTTTCCTCATAACAATCAACTAATGCAAAATTTTGGCGAGGTGCTATCTGCGCTTTAGTTTTTGTTTACATATTTTTCGTATTATGTATGTATCTTTAACTACGTCTCCTCGTTTGCGTTGATGAAATACCGGCTTAAAAATGTGATTTGCGAACGGTATGAGTATATTTTTTACATTTTAGTTCATTGTAGATTTCATAAAAGTATCAAATCAGTCTTTTATATGTGTATTAAAATTCATTGACATCATTCGTAATAAAATGGGATCAAGAATATAATTGTATCAACAACTTTTGATTTAATCTAGACGTTTTTGTCCAAAGCTGTTTCATTTGTTATGAAGATTGTAAGTGCTTTTTTCCATTACTTAAAATTGTAAATTCTTACTTTCTTTTTTCTTATACTAGCAACTTCCTTAACATTAGAAGAATGCGGGTATTGTAATACCGTACGAATTTTGTTAGTTGGCAAGCCTAAACTACACACTTTTTTGTGATTATGCCTGTGTAGGCTGAAAATTTAGAAAGAATCTATAAAAATTGACAAGCATTTTTTTACAACGTCGCAGGATACAATTTTAGTTACATGCGTTAAAGTGCAGGCGCATTACATTTTTGTTGCTTGTTAGGTTTTCACGTCCAAGCTAAAATATTGAAAATAATGAGTACGCGCAGGCAAAGTAAGTTTTTTAATATTCAATTTAAACGTCGATGGTTGAATCGTAGGTATAATTGCGTTTTTAAGGGTGGGACTTAAATTTGCGTTCATTACTTTCAAAATATTCTGCGTAAATTCCCAGGCTTACGAAAGCAATCACAACGTTTCTTCCCATTAACATGAAAAATTTTTCAGGAGAACTCTTAAATTCAACCCAGTGTTGTCAGATTTTAATATGGGAAACGTGGTGAGAATATTCAAACGTGTTTAAATAATTAATTTTGCCTGCCTTACTGTCACATGACTGTGAATCGAGGTGGATTTCAGGTCCGCTTATTTAAATTACTCTCAGATGACTGTGAATCGAGGTGGATTTCAGGCCCTCTCATTAAATTGGCTTGTTCGATTATCAAGCTATAAATAGTGTACGCAGTGGTTGTGATATGTTATGAAAAGTAAAACTAGCAATATTAAAGATTCACTAACCAAGGTGAATTTTTGTTATTTGTCTTGATTTTGATAATCTTGAAGTTAATTTGATGTAATTGAGTAACGTTGACAGGATATAATGAAGGAACATGGTTAGGATTAGTTTCTTCCCACTAAGGCTAAATTTTCCGTTCTACTTTTAATAATTTGGATTTGATTGTTAGGCTTAATCACTCTTGTTTGAAAAAATCGACCTAATATGGTATCTGAAAAATTTTAATTTTGCCTACAAGTGGAACTACTTATACTATGTTTTAATGAACCCCAAAAGAGACTTAGCTTTATGAAGAGAAGTCTCAATTTGAATATTAAATAACGATAATTGCTTATATCTTCCCAAATTCAGTGGCGTACCGTTGATTGCTGGCCAAGTAAACAAATTATTCAGATCGGTCTTGAGATAATATCAGTAATCAAATCGAAAGAATAGCAAATTTTGACATCATTTGCAAACATTGGAATTCTAATTACATCTAGGACGATCATTTACAAATAGAGTGAAAAGAATAGGGCCAAGATGGACACCCCAAGAAACACCAGACAAAGCAGGGACGAGAAAGACACGAATTAAAGAAGACCCTTAGAGAAGGAGCAGTCAGATAACTTCGAAATCAGGAAAACATTATATCAGAAAAGTAAGGCACATCAAGCGAGACATCAATAAATTATATATGTTAAATAAATTATGATCTATCCTGCCGAATGCTTTGGCAAAGTCGGTGTAAACTAATTAGTCGCTTGTACTCTTCAAGCGCTTAGAAAGCACCACCTGTAACCTGTTAGCCGTGGATCTTTCTTTAATAAAACCATGCAGAAGGAACAACCGATACTTCACGTTTCATGTTTACAAAATGAGAAAATTGTTTTGGCTTCGCGACCAATTTAGATCCCACATAACGTATGCAATTAAAGTTACAAGTTTTATTCAAACCATTAAGCTCAGGCCTGGCGTTAGAAAACAGGGATAGTCTGCAAGTAAACATTATGCTTGTAGTTTTTGATCAATCTACTATGTCTGTTTCAAATTGACCAAAGTTGCTTGTTGGACCAGGGAGGACATTTTATAGACGGCGGAGTACATAAGCTCGAAGCTTGTAATTAAGATTCCAGGCAAGTTTAGATAGTATGCCTCTCAGTTCGTCGAAATTCGTTTTGTTAAACATGAGAGAGCTTATCTACTTCGTAACATGTACTACCTCACCAATTTACCATTCAACTTTTCAGTAACACACGGTGATAGACATTCTCAGTTAAAACGAATGTATTATCTCGTGCGTGCTAGGGCCATTAAGCTGGGAAGTTGGTCCTTCACACTTAAATGTGATTCCGAAGGGCCAAATCCATGAATTCTGCCGAAAAACGCATTATACGCCAAAGGCATCAATATAAGAAAAAAAGCTGACGCAGAAACATAAAAACATAAGGATAATATTTTGTATAAATCAAAAATTTTTCGCCATACAATATAAAAAAAAATTTAAATAATACAACGCAAAAATAAAGTTTAATAAGGTGTAATTTTTCAAGAATTCGTCTACGTTTCTTTTCTTGCTTATTTTATTTGTTTTTTAAGTGTACGGTGTGCGTTAAAGACTGAATTCTTCTCACAGGCTGATAACCTGATAACTGGTAAATTTCTTTATGAGTGCATCCATTACTTTTAATGTATTCGACGTCGTCAGTTGATGAGCGAATAAAGATTTCCTGTGGCCATAGAAACGTAGCAAAAACAGAAGTTTTAATAAAAAGAGATCCTAAGATTACTTTTAAGAATAGGAAGAAATTCAAATATTTTTCACTTTATAATATCTCTTTTAAAGTAAAATAAGTGAAACCGTTACGTTAGTAGGTATTGCTCCTTTGCTGTCGTTGTGTAGTTTGCCAAGGACGATGATGGCAGTGAATGTATTTTGATAACTTTTTCATTTGAAAAAGGCATTGAGAAACTTTGATGCAATATGCAGTAATCAAAATATATAATTAATAATAATTTTTTTCCATTTCTCTGACAACATGGCGACACCGTGTTTTTGGCAGCGATCGATTTTTCATACTTCTTCAGCGTTTCGAAACCGCCTGCCAGCCAAGTCGTACTGCATCGATCTGATCAAGTGGTAATCAGAAGGCACTGTAGTATTATCGATTTGTCGCACTCTACCGTAATTTACAAGTTATTGCTAAGTTTACATTTTACACCTTTACATTTTACACTTGCACAACAAAACTTTATGGCCATGAATATGGCGCTTTGGTATCGTTGTGAATGGCTCCCCTGGACTAAAAAATTTAAACCAAAACCGACAATTGGGATGTGATGTTACAGCATCATCATAGGCTTCTAAAAGTGTTTGAGTGGTTTCAGCAAAAGATTTTTTCAAATCGAACAACAAAAGTAATAAATGTCGAAATAGCAATTGAATAACTCAGTTTATCTTTATAAAAGAGTATATCTAATTTATAATCATAAATAGTCCAGTATAACCAACTTCATCGTCTTCAACTCCAAATGTCCTTGACTGAATGTAATGAACTTCGAATAGCTGAAACATGCTTGGTTTACTGTATTGTTTTAGTTGTTATAATAAAAAGCCATAGGTTGGTATAACTGTTTATTACAACAGTTTTGAGGCGCAATTTGTGTAGAAAGCCAATATACAGGTAGCGATACGGGGTTGGAACACACCCAATTGGAGCTGATTGTTATTATTCTGCGAAGAATGTGTCCACGGGAACTTTTTTTTGTAATTGCTTGCTCCTTGCGATTTGTAGCAGTTTTAAGCAACGTACTACTCTATTTCTCAGTTGGATTTGGATTCATTTAACATTTTCACATCTTTAACATCTTCATTTAACAAAACATAATCTTCACCTCTGATGCATCATGATGGATTAATTTTTGCACATATCTTCTATCTATGTACAGACTTTAAAAATTACGCATAGTGATCATTTTGAAGCGTTGAGAAACAGAGCATAATATCAATAAGAAAATGCCTGGAATAAGCTGAAACTTTTAAAAGACAGGCTACAAATAGCTTTATAAAGGATCAATTTTTAAATATCAACAGAAGTACGCAACGTTCTCATTCAAATTGATTTTTTTAACGCTGAGTACAGTAATGAACCATAATATCTGCCAAATGGGTGCGTCTGCTTTTCTCACAAATCGTCGTTTCTTTATTGAAATGGTTCATTACGAATGCTTGATACATTGATGCAGCATTGATGTCAGCTTTACTTTTAAACTTAAAGAACGAATGCTAATAGTGTTAAGTCGTACGCCCAAACGGCTTATTAAAGCGCCAATTTCGAAGAATCGAACGTCTACGTCAACGTGTAACTTGTTGCGTTTACCGAGTATGCTAGACTCTTTCTCTTAGCTTTGCGGAGCCACATATGCAACAATTTTGCTTGGTTACATTCTCAACTAAAGGGGCCACGTTTTCAACTTACGATCAGGTAGCTGCGCGTGTTGGCAAGTCATACCTTTGTAGGTTAGTTGAACATAACCAGTTGCGATGGCGGTACTAAAACCGCTGGCAAAATTTTTACGTCGCGTTCTCACAAATGCTGGAGTATATTCTTACTGTTTTTTCTGTTAGGAGCTGGTGGTACAATGTTGTGGATTTTCTATAAGCGGCGTCGTTGGCATAATTTTTTTTTTGAATTAAGACGCTTTTTACCCAATTTCTATCACAACATTCTAAAGAGGAGCAATGTCTCAATAATTGAAGATAAAATATATG